TTTTTATCTAAAAACAAATAAATCAAACAATCAATTTTTGATTCCTTCGACATGAGACTATATGCACTTTTGTTGATGTTGATGCAATAGGCAAGTGTTCTCAATCAACTCGTGAAAGGTATTATGGCATTCACTCTGATGATCGTGTTCTGATAGAGAGAGTGTGAACTACGATGCTTTATTCCTTCATCATTTCATTCATGCAAGTGATCACTTTGAAATATGAATCGAAAATTAATTACACCAGAAATTGTTGCATTATTCACATTCGCCGCGAGAAAAAAATTGTATCGTACTCAAAATAATTACATTCACAATTTTTTGTTTGCAGTTTCACAATGAATTCCGCAAGGGTACTCGTTAACTGCGCTCCAGCTCTTCGAACTGTTGCAATGAGGGTGAGTTAATTTAACCTAGATGAGGCTCGAAAGAAGCTTAAAGTGTCGAGTTAAACCGCATCAAATACAACTGTTATATGCAATACCTGGTTGCTGCTTCATCCATCGTTGTTGCATATTTACGAATGAAAGCAACATGAGATATCGAGATGACTGCGGATATTTGTGAACGTTAAGTGCTCATATCTAGTTACTGAAAAGTACTAGACTCTTTTTCATGCGACCCAACAGCATGAAACATGTAAACGATGATATGATATGATACGATTACAAAATGGTTCATGTAGTGAACAATTGAAATTTGTTTACAGAAATTCAGCGCACATCCTCTGGCTGGACTCCTTGGACGTTTGAATCATGTCGCTATTATCACTCCAGACATTGAGAAATCTCGTCAATTCTATATCGGTCTCGGCGCGAATGTAAGCGAATCAAAGGTATGAGGCAGTTTCGGTTATCCTCATTCTTTTCAATAATCACATCAATAGAGTCAATAAATCAAACGAGTACATCTTCATGAAATAATCAGCAAGTGACTTATAAGAAAGGTTGAAAGAAAGGCATACAAATGTGTGAGGTTTGAATTTAGTCAATTTTATTGCCCCATTCCGCCGGAATGTAATTACTTATAATTAAGGGTGCGCATTGAATTCTAGTTAGTATTCAGCATATAATATCAAAGTTTTTGCAAAAAACGCTTTAAAACTGCGACACTTGAAGGCTGTACCAGAATGGGGTGTTAAGACGGCATTCGTTGAATTACCGAATACAAAAATCGAATTTGTATTCCCGTATGAAGATAGCAGTCCAGTTATGCCATGGTTGAAAGAACACAAAGGAGGTGGATTGCATCATATCTGCATTGAAGTCGAAGATATTCACAAGGTATGAAACGATCGCACTTCAAGTATTCCTTATTCGAACCATTCAAACGCCTTCTGCTCATTATGTGTTGATGCGTTCTCAGAAAATCATTGCAAGACATTATATTGATGATCATATCATGTTGCCGAACATCTAAACGTTCGGAAAGCCAACCGGCCGTGGTACGGTCGAGAGACATTGCTGCAATTTGAGAAAAAATACATTCCAGGCGATCAAA